CAGGTTGTCTGCTACGTCTATGTGTGTGGGGTGGAGAGGGGATCCAAAATTTCTACTCTATACACTTCAACACTCCTTTCAAATCATGTTTCACAGTAGCAAAAGGGAAAACATCGAAAAAAGAGAACCGAACGAATGAAATACAATAAATAGATGCCTACGATATAAATACTGGGTGTTAATATGGGTGTGTTCGTGGATTTGGGTTGAGGAGGGTGTACATTTCGGTATTTTCTTCTTGCATACCAAAATCCATACCCCAATATTCATTCCGATTTCCACTCATTTTAAAGACAAGTTGAAAAAATTCATATTAGATTCAAAAAGTGTGAAAGAAATTTGAAACAAGTACTCTCTAGATTAACGTTTTTTGACTGGAAAACGAAAAAAAGAGGAATAATTAATTGGTTACTTGAGTTTGTCAAATAACGCCGAAAATAATAATGTCGAAATAAAAATATCGACTCATACACATGTAGATAGTAAAAACGTAGAAATAGAAAAATCTCGGATATATGAAATTCATGGTTTTTCATATTATGAAATCAAACTTCAGGAGAAAATATATCAAACACATGCAGAGTAATAAGTGAAGATTACACATATAGTTTCAAATACATTATTTTGTTGGCACCTAAAGAATAACATGGTAGAATGAACAATCTGTATATCGATATACACATACATAAACTCCCCAGATATCTGAATTTTCATCGATTTATTGCAAACTGAAGGTCAAAGGTTCATATCTTATGATTCAACTAGCGGAATGAGACAATAAGAAAAATGTACGAGCAGCGATTGTTCAGTGTTGTATAGGCATGCGTTTTAATCGATACGCTAATAATCTTATAAATAAATTAAAATTTCTGATAATTTTATCGCATATTGTGACGAAAAAAGTGAAAGAAAACGCAATCCGTATTATAATAATGAAAGCCCTGCATGACAAGAATTTCTCGTACGTCATTCTATAACCTAGGACAAATTTCATACTCTTGTAATATTTCACCCTATGTTAGGGTTTTTCATCATCCCATGAGTCTTTCACAGTCAACATGCGTCATACTTTATACTGTAAAACAAACTGGGTTTTTCAGTGATTCTTTTTTAAGTTTCGTAGTGACTACAGGATCTTTAATAGCTCTTCACCTCGATATACGCGCAGAACCTGTGCTACGAAACCTTTTTAAGATCAGTAGGCCTCAAAAACGTTCTGTCATGAAAACATCAAACCATCAAGATTCTAGACGAATCTTCGGTGGTTTAATGCGACACCATTATGGTATTGTCTCGTACCAGTATGACTTCTTTTCGAATCAAGATGGCTCCGTATTTTCAACACGGAACCTTTTAATGACTTAATCATCTTCAAAAGGTATCGTAGCAAAGATTCCACACATGTATCGAGGTGAAGAACTATTATAGGTTTTATAGTCAGTACGAAACCTAAAAAGGGATCAGTAAAACAACGATATTTTTAGAATGTAGAATTTAACCTGAACAAATTCTCACACTCTTGCTTAGCTCTTCTCGCATACTTTCCTCTATAAACCTGTACTAACCACGATAATGTTACTAATAATTGATTCATTTATGCTTTGTTTAAAGAGTAACATTTTTTCTCTAAAATCTAATTTCAATCTTTTAAAGATAGAAATTGCACTGGATGATAACCTAGCTGAGATATCTTTGTTCGTGTCACAGATCATTCGATATTTTGATTTTCCACCAAATTCAGGCAAGTCACATTCACTTCGGGGTGTACTAGGACTGGCATTTTCTTAGACAAAGTCAAAAATTTTTCTATAGAAAGTACCTACACTACTGCCTGAATCCCACTCTCAACCGAGACTCTCCGTACACTCTAAAAAAAGTAGGCTTATTACCAAACTTAAAAATAATTTAGCAAGCTGCTAAACCAAAAAGGCATCTTCCCTTGGACACACGGGAAGAACGTTCACTTCTGATCCTTTTTAGGCTCTATGCCACTGGAAAAAGGTTGCGTAGAAAAAATGCATAGCTTTAAGAGATTAGTTGAAATTTCTCAAAGTTTCGTGTTAAACCTTCTAGGTATTCTGCGGAATCCTCAACATTTTGTAAATTTGATACCCTACCTTTCTCTTCGATACAGAATCTAAAAAGGTTCAGAAGTGAAGATTCTTCCCGTGTGTCCTAGAGAAGATTCTTTTCTGGTTTAGTAGCTTGCCTAACCTTTTTTTAAGTTTGGTAAGAAACCTATTTCTTTAGAATGCACGCCTCTCATAAGAGATTGTTGATGACATCGATATGCTAATTGTTCTCTCTGTTCATATTTAGGTAGTGGAACAATTGGTAATTTAGTTTTAGCTCTTAATTTAGCTCGTTTATTTCAAACATCTTCATTACATTATTCACCATATTCATATCGTGTTCGATTTTGTTGGTGGGGTGCTGAAGAACTTGGTCTTCTTGGTTCTCTATATCATGTTCAACAGGCTTCTTTGCCAAACACAACCACTGACGGGGAACGGTTACAGGATTACCTAGTGAATTTGAATTATGACATGTTAGCCGGTCCGAATTATCAATTTGGTATTCAAGACAGCTCATTAGTTCCATTGGGAACACCTGCTCAAGCTCTTAATGGTACAAGTCGAATTACGAATCTCTATCAGCAATGGTTTGACGGTCAAAAACTTCCTTGGAGCAAAGTAGAATTCGGAGGTGGTAGTGATTATGCTCCATTTCTAGCTGCAGGTATAGCAGTTGGTGGAATCAATACCGGGACTGATGAAATTAAACCGTCTACTGAACGAGACCAATATGCTGCATTATTAGGAACAGGAAATGGTGGAATAGCTAACGCTGCTTATGATCCATGTTACCATCAACAATGCGATAGAATTAGAAATATAAATCCGTTTGCATTTGAAAAAAATGTCAAAGCAGCTGCTTATGCGATTGAATATCTCGGAAGATTGAATAATTTAGAAAGATGGCTTTATCCAAATGGTCGAATAAAGAATTTTAAATCGTTCAATAGAAATCAATTAAATAATTTTCATGATGATCGTAATCATATCTAAGCTTGACTTTTACACTTTTATTATAACAATTAATTCATAAATATAATAAACAATATAAGAATTTATTTTAATTAGTTGTAGTTGAATAACATTGAACTATAGACAGAATCTAAATAATTTTATCCAAACTGGCGAAGAAAAAGAAACAATCAATTTCCTTTATGGCGGGAAACACTACATATATCTGAGGCAATTTTGAACTAACTAGTAACTTTTCTGCATATATCTCTCATGGTAATCATATGCATTTAAAATAACCAAATGATCATCACGAGCATAGAGTATATGGATGCGATTAATTTCTTTACCCACACATGCAAATTCAAAGTAGTAAGAATATCTCCCTGTTTTACACAAAGTGCTCCATAGAAGTCTTCAGTCCCAGCAACTCTTTCAAACGAGACGAGTGTTCGAACATTTTAGTATATTATAAAAGTATATTTGACTCTCTAATCATCAATACATAATAGTGTCCAATGTTAGCTGCCATATCAGAAATACGATTTTTCATACTTCATACGATATTTGTTGTGTGATCTTTTGGAAAAGCTTTGCATTCTTTCTTGATCACTAAAACTAATGATTTGTAATTTCGAAGATTTTTTCTTGCTAAATTCATCTTTAGAAGCTTTCACACATTTTCGATGGGATTCAGGCCTAGCGACATTGACGGCCAACGAATTCTCCGGACCTTAGGATTCCATCTTCATTGAGTTTTGACATGTGCTTTGGATCTTGCGGGTGTGGGTGTGGATGTGGTGGGGGTGGTGGGTGGGTGTGGGAGTGAAACGAAAATACACACCCACACCCTATCACATCATATGGTGATGATGGTCAATCAGTGATGTTACATTCAGATCAAAGAACAGACGCTATTTTATTAGAGTCATTATTATGTATTGATCCATATTCCATAATTTGTACTAAATGATGTAAAGGTTTACAAGCAAATAAAGTGAAAGGTGCATGGAAATCAACACAAGAAAATTGATTTGTTTTAATTGCCTTAGATAAATATTTTCATATCAAAGAAAAAGATACATCAGATTCTGTTGCTAATATTTGGTATGTCAATGATTATTGTGGTCAACATCAATATAAAGGTAAAATGGAATCAAAAGAAATAGATGATCTATCTCTTATCATATTCATATATGGCAGTATTTTCGTAAATTGAGATCAATACGAAATATAATTTTCTAGATCGTGGCTTATCTATAATTTCTTTTCTTAATATAAAGATCGAACGACAAATACATGTACAGGGTTGCGAAAAATGTTTTGCCCGGGAGTTACAGCTCCAACGACAAATGATATCAATATTGAATTTTATCCCAAATGAAAGCTCGTCAAAAATGGGGTTTATCCATACGAATGAATAAGGGCTATAAAGACTTTTCTCTATCGAACTTTGATAATTTCTAGAAATGCATGAACCACAGTCATAACAAAACTTTCTTTTATCGCAGAGAACTCAAACTACTTCTGATATAGCATACTGAATCTAGCAAAGTTACCTTTATTTTTTATCATTCATTAAGCCATAAAAAGTAAAGATAATCTTTCTATGTTTAGTAATTTTATATCAGAGGTAGTTTGAGCTCTGTATGATAAAAGAAAGTTTTGCTATGACTGTGCTTCATGCATTTCTAGAAATTATGAAAGTTCGATAGAAAAGTCTTTATAGCCCTTATTCATTCGTATGGATAAATCCCATTTTTGACGAGCTTTCGTTTGGGATAAAATTCAATATTGATATCATTTGTCGTTGGTGCAGTAACCCCCGGGCAAAACATTTTTCGCAACCCTGTACAATACATATTCCGATGAAAGCAATATTATCGCCGTCATCATCATACAACATGGGTAATAATGATAAGTATCTAATCATACACAAACATTGGTAATGGTCGATTACATTATCGTATTGCAATGAATTATGCTCCATCAAGTCTACAATTAAATTATGTTAACTATGGTTTTAAAATTGAAGGCACATACACAGCTATCGATGATCCATCACATGTTCAGAAACAATCAGATGGAGCTTGGAAATTCAAACTACAGAAAAAAATCAGAGTCATATTAACAATGGCAACAACACAACAACAATATCATATAGCATTAGTTGACTATTTACCAGCTAATTGTGAACCATCAAATACACAATTAAAGGCATTGTGACAGATGATACAAATCCATCAGTAACAAGTTCAAAACGAAATTACCATTATGATGAATATCGACCACGTTCAACTATTGGTTGGACTGAACATGAAAACTTCAGAGATGAACGTGCTGAAGCATTTCGATCATTATTATGGTCTGGTGTATATGAATGGAGTTATGCAATGCGTGCAACATTTGCTGGAACATTTATCATTCTACCAGCTAAAGCTGAAGAAATGTATTCGCTCGAAAACTTTGGTCGATGTGCAACAGAAAAAGTTATCATTGAATAAGAAATGTATCTTACACTTGAAAGTTCGTAGTTAGATTTTTACATATAATTTGAATTGTTGAAATTTTCATTACTTTTTTTTATCTTCAACCAATTTATCTCACTGTATTGATTTTATCATTCTAAATAACTTACTACCCTAACAGTTCAATAAACGTGATATATTTACTTCTAATGCTAGTTTAACAGTATGAATAGATGTCTAACCAGTGTTGTGCTGATCTTCAAGGCACACTTTTGCTGAAAATCGATGAGGATGCGAATGGGTGGGTGTATTGAACCAGGACTTGGGGTGTAAGTCTGGGTGTCGGTGGGAGTGAGTGCAGATGAATCTAAAACAACACCCATCCCTTAACATATCAATAATATCTTTCATTGTAATGAATCGGATGATGTCAAAGTCAGATACATTGATTATCCAGAGAGTAACGTTGAATTTACTATACAACATGGAAAAGCAGAAAATACATTAACATCAAAGAAAGGCTGAAATCTTACTGATATTGATGTAGTTGATGGTGTTCTTGACCAATAATAAAAATTTAAAAAAACTTGAATTGAAATATTCTCTCTTTAAATATATTGCAATAAGTAGTGTTTGAGACCACTTTATAATTGTTAGCTATATGATAAGAACATGTTTACCTATTCACATGATTGTTTACATACAGATAGAAAGTTAATTAATAAAAGCGAAACAATGAAAATAATGGTCTGTATTCGAGTAGAAATTATGTCAAATCGGACGTAACAGTGAAGGAGATTTTATTTTTTATTTTTAAAGACTTCAACATAAGTAACGACGACAACAACTTCGATGTTAAAGTTAGCTCCTGATAAACAAAGGCAAAGGTCGTCTTATAAACATCACATCTCCTAACAGAAAACTTAATTAAAATACGAAAAATACGTCAACAAGTACTTTTTGAAAATATAAATTAATTAAATTTTTCATTTGAAATATTATTATTCTACTACTCAAGTTAGTTCTTTTCTCCTTTATATATGTCAAAAGCTTGTATTTCCTTGATTCTAGGAACATCATTTTAGTAGTTTATCACATAATAAACAAGAATTTTTACATATTGATTTAACCCTTACTATATTTTTTTTGCAGAAACACTGATTAACTTTATAGAAATATATGGCTTACGACTTCTTGGTCAACCATATCATGACTTTGATTCAAAAGAAATCGATTTTGAACGTGTTTAAACATTCTTTTTTTTCTAGTTTTTAAACAAAATATAAATCTTTATGAAGGTATTATCTTTCCTTTCATTGATATTCTAATATTTATTTAAGTTAATTTCAACGTTATGGAATAAAGATTATTGATGAAACACAACTCTTACGTTTTGTTAAACTATCTCGTAAAGAATGACGAACGATCGAAAAAAGGACCTATTTTATTAATATCTGAATTATGTCGGTTGATTGATTTTGTTTTTGGAATTGTCACCATATATATATATATAAGTTTTAACTCTCAGGTATACTATAATCGATTGAAAGGTTTTCTTGATAATATTCGACAGTAAATTGCTAAGTTTTTAACTGTATGATCGCATTATTTTATTAAAGAAATCGAAAATCAAAGTTAATAATCGTTTAATTGCAGTTAAATCTATTATCTATGGAAATATAAATCAAATTTTTCTTTTCTTCTTTAAACATAATATTTCATTGTATATTAGAGTACAATTGAATACAAAGCAGAAAATGCTGGTAAATTTTATTCATTTTCAAATATAATTCTCTAATAATCTTCTTAAATAGATTTGCATTACGAAAATAGTTCCCTTGTGCATCTATTAGTTAAAAGTTTGCATAAATGGTAAGTACTCTATTTTTAACATGATCATGAACTTGTTGAATCTTTTATAAATCCACTTTGTAATACATGTATTCTATTTGAAATGAATACTCAATGTCCCCAAATGTAAGTTTATTTGAAATGCATTGCAAAAAAAAATCAGCAGATAAGTATGAATCTTGTATTTGTTAACAAATAATGGAAAAGTTTGTTATGATACATTGAAAAGATATTGTTGCATTTTAAATTTATTTATTTATTAGATGGTTTTACCATAGAAACTTGATGCGTTTAAAGTTAAGTTTTTATTTAAGTTTAAATATATATATATATATTGAAGTCGAAAATTATAATGATCATTGTTATTAATTCTTATTCATATGTTGATACATTTATTTCCTTAATAAATTCATCTTGTACATAATGTTATTCGTGCATTATTGTTCAAAGAAATTTCCAAGATTTTAATCTTTGCATTCAAAATTGTCTTGAAGGCAAATAAATAAATACTAAAGTTTCAATTATTAAATTTATTGATTTATGTACACTTTAAAAAAATATCATACAATTAATAACTTAATACTTGAAAGAACTAAACAAACATGTTTCAATAATCTATGATAGTTCTTTTTTTTTTCGTTTAGTTATTATCTTATTGATTATAAATTAACCTATTTTATTGAAAATGATTCACACTAAACATTTTGAAATTATGTACAAAAATCTCTGCTAGTAATGCTATCTGATGTAAGAAAATATTTTCTTATTTTGAAAATTATTTCTTTTTTCTTAAGATACTACCGAACTTAAAGTCAATCATATGCAAAGATTAATAAATAAATTCAAAGCATAAATATAAACTTTTTAGATTTGGAAATTATGCCATTTATACTATAAATGACTAGTATGTGTCTTTAACTTTTTTTCATTAAATAGTTAAGTTATTTCATTGTTTTACGATACTATTCGTATTTCTGCTGTATGTCAAGTAAATTTTAATTTATTTTATTTCGTTGAATCTTTATTTTTCCAGTATGCATATTAACTCGTTTTTCTAATAGTATAATCACTGTATGATGAATTTGATCAGATTCTTTGTAATCCTTGTTAAATTATCTCGTTGAATTTAAAAATGATCTTATATTACGATAATAAAATAAACATGTAATAAAACTCATTGATTATTTTTGTTCAATTTACATTCGATATCACTACTACGAGCACTTTTTTCATCATTATTAAGAATTGTTTTATTTAATATTTGAGATTAATAAATAGCAAGAACTTTATGAATATTACGAGTAACTTAATCTTCAAGAAAACTATTTCATGATGCAAAATAATGAGAAATCTAATCTATTTTTAGTGCTGTCATTCATTTATTTGTAAAAATAATTCCATGTATAAATAAATGTATTGATTGGTGAAAATTCGTTTCGATAAGATTTTCTTGTGATTTTATATTGTTATCAATTAAAGAAAATTGAATAAGATTATTGCTTTTGTTCGTTTACATAATTGAATATCAAGAATGTTATATGTTATATTTTATTTCATTTAATATATGATTATTAAGTTCAATTGCTTATAGATTATCCATAGGGAAATCAAGTTGTTAATGACTTTAATTATTACATTTTCTTAATTTTTAATTCGTCAACATGAATTTGAAGATAAATTATTTGTTTTTTTTTAAATAAAAGCTGTTTTAGATATATTTATTTCAGTATCTATATTTTTGAAAAATACATCAAGATTTATTGATAAATAAATCACCAACAGGATCGGTAAAGAAAACAAAATAAAAATACGAAACAAAATATATATGTATAAATGATATGCTTCAGTTATTATTACGAGTTGTTTAAAAACAAGAACAGAACAAATGAATATAATAATGTGGAATAACGAACACCTGAAGATTGTTTTAGTTTGGATGGAGAAACTTCATGAATCGAATGATTTTGTCAATATTTTTCTCTTCATTTTCTATAATTCTCCATTATATGATCGTTCAATTTTAATAAAACATAATTTTTGTTCATCGGTTATGGTTGTATTATTGTAAGAAAAACAAATATGGTTTAATTTTTTAAAAAATAAGTCGCTGTAGTAGTGAATCGTTTGTCTATGTAAGAAAAAGAATTGATTGATTGTATCTAGGAATTTTTTGATAATAATTTTCTAAAGCTCTTGTTTCAGATACAGATGGATGAGTATAAAATCGAGTTGTACTATGTAGTTATTTTTGAAATAAAATATTTATTCGTATTTTCAATATATTATTTTATTACAATGGTATCAATTAATTTTCAAATTCCAAATAATAATTTACTTCGAATAATACCTAGTAATCTTATATAGATTAATCTTTTTTCCATCAGAAAGCGCACTCATTTCGGTCTCCAATGAGGTATTCTAATGTCTGTTTCAAAATATAATGCGTCCCACTGTTTTTTGAATAACTCAAGAACGCAATCAGCTAGAAGCCTGCGGTTTTCACCAATCGAAAGAAGAGACGGGGAGCGTCTTTTTCTTCAATATCGTATCAGACGGAATCATTTTGAAAGCAGTCATTTCTGCATAACATCGAAAAAATGGTCTGTCATTCAGATGAAATTTTGACAAAAAGTAAAAAAAATTGCTCCAAAATTAAAAAAAATTGCTCCAAAATTAAAAGAAATTCATAGTTTTCTTGCGAGTAAATAGACGATTTTATTTGCTAAACGTTAGGATGCGGTAAGATAATCATTCGAATTATATCCTGAAGTATAGATCCGAAGTCCCTCTATCTAGATCACATGACAAAAGGAAAATTTCTTCAGAATGCCGGGTCGTTTTCATGCATTTTTTGCAATGTTTTGCAGAAATGACTGATTCTAAAATGATTTTGTCTGATACAATATTGGAGAAAAAGACGTCCCCCTGTCTCTTCTTTCGATTGGTGAAAACCTCAGATCTCTAGCTGATTGCATTCTTGAGTTATTCAAAAAACAGTGGGACGCATTATATTTTGAAACGGACATTGCTTCTATATTTTGAAATATATTGACTTTGTTTTTATATTTTTCTTATAAAATAAAATATTCATTAATTAAAGAAATTACTACCATATTTTAAGCAAAAGTTTATGGTGAATGTTAAATTTTTAAATTTCATCTTATTGGCTATATGTTAATAAAGAA